TAATCAGGAAAGAGATCTTGGAGTCATCGTGGATGGTTCTCTGAAGACATCCACGCAGTGTGCAGCAGCAGTCGAAAAAGCAAACAGGATGTTAGGAATCATTAAAAAAGGGATAGAGAATAAGATGGAGAATATCTTATTGCCCTTATATAAATCCATGGCATGCCCACATCTTGAATACTGCGTACAGATGTGGTCTCCTCATCTCAAAAAAGATATACTGGCATTAGAAAAGGTTCAGAGAAGGGCAACTAAAATGATTAGGGGTTTGGAACAGGTCCCATATGAGGAGAGATTAAAGAGGCTAGGACTTTTCAACTTGGAAAAGAGGAGACTAAGGGGGGATATGATAGAGGTATATAAAATCATGAGTGGTGTGGAGAAAGTGAATAAGGAAAAGTTATTTACTTGTTCCCATAATATAAGAACTAGGGTCCACCAAATGAAATTAATGGGCAGCAGGTTTAAAACAAATAAAAGGAAGTTCTTCTTCACACAGCGCACAGTCAACCTGTGGAACTCCTTGCCTGTAGAGGTTGTGAAGGCTAGGAGTATAACAGGGTTTAGAAGAGATACAATGTCAAATTCTTTCTTAGCTTAGATTTTATGTACTTCACAGGAGGAAAATTACCTCAGCTCCTCCAGGAATTTGTAAGGGAATGATTAAAGCATATCACTCAGGTTATAACATCTCCAGAGAGGTCCCACCTCCAGAGGAGGCTTGCATATTCTGTTTCAAACTGGATTCTCCAGAGACCAACAGACAAAGAAAGGACTTTTGGATAAATAGCTTGAATTTAAACTGACTCAGGGCCTTCGTACTGGTTCCTGATCTAAAGACTGATGTGAACTTGTAACCACAGGGAAAACCCAGTTGAGGGATTTGAAGGACTGACACCTACCAGAACCCTAGGTTGGAGTTAGGGGTGACCTCTGCTAAGTTTTTTTTAGCATGTGTGCAGGTTCTTTTATTGTTTTATATGCTTTCTCTGTGATGCTTTTACCTTCAGAATAAAGGTGCTTGCTTAGAAAGAGCTCTGTGGTAACTTGTAACTGCTTGCAATACACTGGTTATAGCCCTCTGAGAGAAAGCAAAGCACAGATGCTGACCTTTTAGGCAGACTGGCTTGCTGGGGATATCACAGTGTGGATTACAAAGCTTTACAGCTTAAAGCCCCCAGTCAGAAGGGAGTGAAATGCTGGTCTCCTACCAGGAGAAGTGATGCCTGGGAGCCAGAAGCCTTTAAGTGAGAGCCCTCAAGGGACCACAGAGTGGGAAATACAGGCGCAGTTACCCTGAAACTGTGATAGTTGCATATTCTCATACTAAACCTCTCATCCATTTAGTTTCTCAGGGAATAATTTTTAATACAGTATCGGTTTAGCATGGGAAATTCATGGCTACAGGAAATTGACAAGGTAAATAATTTAGTAGGATATTTTAAAGGAATGGATAATTTAATGAGCATTAAGAGCATTTGTGTTTTTGCATACTATGTCAGTGTTATAAAAAGAATCAAAACTCATGCTTCAGAGCAAAGTCTTATCTTTATGCATCTTGTATTTATGCCAGTCGCCTCAGGTAGCAAATAACCTGAGTGCCTATTGGAGTCAAATGTTTGTCAGGGTGCAGTTGGACACGTGCATTACAGGTTTGCGGTTTAGTAGTAGTTGTTGTTAGTTTTGCCTTTTTCTAAAACCTCAAGTATCGTCCCTAGTTAGAATAAGGTTCTGTTCCATTGTGGCAATTCTTTCTGTAATTTCCTATGTGAAATAAAACCATCATTAGAAGTCAGAAAAATAACTGCTGGTGATATAGACACTTTTGAGAAGTTTGAACAAATAATTAGAAGAAAATAATATTCTCTCTATCCATTTACTTATAGAGTACCTAACACTATGGTATCCAGATATGAATATGGTAGGGTTCTGTAACTACTAAATCAAAAGAGGAGTCAGTTAAAATACATAGACTTGCTAGCCTCACACTGTCCTAAATGTCCTGTGTTCTCTTTTTCCTAATGCAATAAGACACTACAGGCACCACATTTCTGGGGATTACCTTTCTGGGGTATGAAGCCTGTGGCCTCATTCTTCATGTCTCAGTCAAAGTGTTCATAGGCCCCAGAAACACACTGCCTGTCGTGTCTTGTTGTTTAAATATTATGATAGAACCTGTGAATAACTGAAAACTGTTTTGACATGTTCATAATAGCTTTTGTTCTACATCTGTACCGATACATTGCCTTTTCTAAAAATTCAGCATAGCTTGCTTTTTACTTTGTGGTTACATTTAATACTTTGATGAGAAGTACTAGAGCAGGGAATTAACTTCTCTACCAAGAAATCAAATCAAGCTTGAAATCAGTAGCTTTAAATTTTTGGCAATGATGTTTTGTAAAGTGAAAAGGTCCTTCTTCATGACAAGCAATTTTATTAGACCTTTATCAGCAACTTCAATGAAAGTTGCTCAGAAGTATTCAGCTGAATCACTGGTATCCCGTGGAGTGACACTTTCATGTGGGGCTTTTTCAGTTGTTCTTTGTGCAGCAAGGGTTGTGTTAACACCAGATGCCAATCGCATACCACCAGTGGATTTGCAAGATTATAGGACAGGAAAAAAGATGAAGGTTAAACACAGGGCACAATAGAGATTACTTATGGTAATGAATTGTATAATTTTTCTAGACAGATCTGGATTAATGTTTATCCCAGGCAAGAGATTACTATATGTCTGATTCTGGTTGTAAACACATATTATTAAACAGAAGGTTTATGTTCATGAAATGCAACTATGAGTGTTAACGCACTTATGATTTATTATGTGCAAAGAGAAAAATTAACCTGTTCATCTGCTATACCAATAGATACACTATGGTTTTTGCATAAATTGGAGATGAATTATAGGCATCTGCTATCTTTAGAAAACAAATAACTCCTGAAATGGCAAAAATTCTTCTCTCAGTTAAAGCCAGACTACCCCATAGACTTTGATGGAGTTACAGCAGTGTAACTAAAAAAAGAATAGCCTTAGATATTTTTATATGAAAAAACAGCTTTTGTACTGGAGATATCTACTGGCAATATATAATAATGATACTTGCTAACTTTTGGATCTTTTTTTCTTTTTCAATGAAAAAACAGTATGTTCACATTCACAGAATATAGTGAACCGTGTCCCAAATTTGATTTCCCAAATTATTCAGTTATATTAACTGTAAAAAAAAAATAGTCTTTTGAGGACTTGCCACTTTCAATTTTTAAAAAAATAATTTGTATTTGTATTGATATTTAGCTATACTTCACATCATTTGCTTTTCAAGTCCACTGTCCTCCTCTGTTTTATAGACTCTCTGCTGGTGAGTATGCCTGTGACATAGGTGTGATCTTCACATTTTTAAAATAATATGTTGCCTTAGTTAAATAATTCACATCTCATTCAATTATTTGATTTTTGGGTGACCAAATGGGAAAAAAATCTCTTAAAAGACAGTCAACACATTCCAAAACTTTGCTCCTTGCGTTGAATAGATGCAATAACAATCTTGTAACCTAGTAATGAGGAACTATGTTGGCTTTCAGATAAAAAAAATGCAGTTTTTATAATCTGTGTATGCTATTTACAAACGGTACATGATAGCTAAATGCCTTTGCATAATGCTGTTTTAAATTCCCTCTCCATTTAATAGTTGTTGATAGTACTCATAGCCTGGTTTTCACTATCCTTCTTAACTAGTCTGTCTAATTATAGGTTACAATAAATTTATTTCTGATGTTTTATTTTTTAAACCCTACTTTCATATGTGAGAAACTTGCCTGGCCTGATTAGTCCCATTGACTTCAGTGAGACTGCTCAGGTGAGTAAAGTTACCCATGGACACAACCAGAATGAGCCCTTAAAGCTGTAATAAGAAAGTTGAAAAGGCCTGAGAATACTATAAATTACAAATTATGTTGAGTGGATTAAACTATTATAACAATTGGGCTAGGTCTGACTCGCCTTGTGCACTGTAACACAGAGATCACATCAATGCTAGTAAGTAGCTCTGATATATTGAATACAAACTTGGTTTTACTGATAAACTGGAAACTAAACAGTTCAAATTTGAATTTTTTGTTTTGTTTTTTAAAAAAGTCAGAGCAATGTAATTTTATTCTCTCAATGCTAAGAAGAAAATGCTTTAAAACCATTTATATTTCTTATATACGTATATTAACAGCCCATTTGGGACAACCTAACTTTAGCTTTTGTAATATTTTGTAAAGGCTGCAAAAAGTGAATTATGAATTAGGAGTTGAAAGAAATAATTAAACAAATATTAAATGTTTCTAGAGGCTTGTATTATGGCTCTTTCAAATAGCTTTAAAACCAACCTATCATTTCTAGTCAATATGCAGTGTCACATATATACCTGAAATCTTTATTACAGATGAGAACGGTTTAGGAAGCCCAAATCAGGTGTATTATACTGCTTAAAAGTTTGTGCAGTGAAGCATTATATTTTGGGAGCTTATAAAATATATATCGTGTTCTCTATTCCCTTTGCTATATGTCGGCAGACATCTATAAGTCATTAAGGTGACCTCCATCTTCCTAAGAGAAGTAAAGGTAAAAATGAAGACACATTTCTGTTATCAGTCTACTCTGGGTCGTAAGTTGAACTACCGTTATATTTTCCTCTGAAATACGCATAGCCTTGACATGGTGTTTAACAGTGTTAAGCTTATTGCCGCTGAGCTAAACATGTCTGAAGCAAACGATGACCCTCACGTCTTTGTGATAGCAAAATGTCTCCCTGATGTGATCCCACAGACTTGGAGCATTAAGTTAATTTTCCCCTGGATTTCTGAGCTGCATCCTTTTTACCCCGCGGAAACCTTGTGAGGAATACAGCTTTTGACCGAATGACAGAGCATGGAGGGTGAAATTAGATGCATTAAATTAAAATATGACAAAAAGCCTATCTAAATATTTGTCACAATGTTACTTGTGCGGCGTAATGTCCAACCCAGGAAGTGAAAGCAGGCTATTGCTGGGACTTAATAGTCTGAAAAAAATATTGGTAAACCATCCAGATTCCTTACAGGCTTTGAGAGGGTAATTGAGGGTATGGTGTAAGATGTCATAGTTCCCAGTTTGGTGATCCCTCTATCTAATCTCAGATTAGTTCCTTTCCTGTTTTCATTTTAAATAGAATTAACCATTACAAAGTTTTCTTTGGTCCTTGGCCATTTTTGTGCCACTTGAACAAATAATGCTGGTACTGGCCGCTAGAGGTTCTATGATACGTTTGTTGGTTAAGTAAAGTATAAAAGAGAAATACCCGGCACACACACACCCCAAAAAAGTCATAGTATCCAATGCATATTTTTAGACTACAAAAATTATTTTCCAGTTTGTCGTACAGCACTTGTGAAAGAAAAAAATATCCCAAGCTACTATATAAATAATTATTAGAAAAATGAGTGTGTTCAGTTAGTATTAAATGTAGGAAGAGATCAAGTCATATGGCTTATTTCATTCATGTGCATTCATCAAAACAATAGGTTTTAATTTTTTTAAAGAGCTAAATATCGAAGTGGCACATTTATCTTTTCTTTTTGATTTTCTGTTATAACAGGCTATGGAAAAATAGGAGACTATGATAGGGTTAACCCCACTACACAAAAATCCACGCTGTGTATGACGGTAGTAAAGCTTGTGATCCCTTGATCTTTGATTAGATTCAAGCTAGTAAATATCTTATGATTAATCAGAATGAGTTGTTCTGCATGTAGTATAAGTCACCTTCACAGATGGATTGTAGAATCAGTTGTTTGTGAATATTTGTTTTAATCCTTTCTAAAACAGACTTGCTTTATGTGCTCAAATCATATTCAGGCAACTAAATATCAGTACTAAGGGAGGAAACTCGCAGTTATGAATAGGATAGTAGGTCAGCATTAAAAAAGGAAAAAACTAACATAACTTAAAATGTCACTCTGCTATTGTTAAAATATAAGTGATACACAGAGTATGCTTCTCATAAGTTGGCGTATATAATTATATGGAAAAGCAGTTATAAACCATTCACATAAGTTGCTATCTTACAGGTAGAAGAACTGTAGAGACACACACACTAAAAAACTGTGTTAAGTATTTGGTTCTTATTATTATTCTGTTTTTAAAAAATGCTTAGTTAGAATTATAGCATTTTGGGGTGTAGGTAGAGTGTAAAAAATCTATAGGGCTACCCTTTTCTATGGTCTGTCAGCCTCCTAATTACTTAAATAATTGCCTTCTGATATAGTTTACATTGACATGCAAAATACTGTGTGAGAGATCTCTTGCAATGACACCTTCATTACCACATCTCTAAGGATTTTCTATAGAATGTAGATTTCCATAGATCATATATAACATTATGAGATTGATAGGAAGATATTGTGCTGTGTAGTAAAAGCACCTCAATTTCTGTCTTATTTCTCATAATCGCTACAGTGAGCCTTTTGTGCACAGAGGTGTGATTCGATTTAACCTGCCAACATATATGAAGAACTTTCTCTATAATACATTTTATATTGAGAGAATTATATATATATATATATATATATATAGTGCATGTAATCAAGTGTATATGAGTTGCTATCATGCAAAGTTAATCCCCTTTTTTCTAATGTTTTTAACAGGAGGACCGGAGAACCCCCATTAATAAATGGTTGGATTCCTTTCATTGGGAAGGCCTTAACTTTTAGGAAAGATGCTTTCAAATTCTTGATATCTCAGCAACGAAAATTTGGAGATATTTTCACTGTACACATTGCTGGTGAGAAGCATTTTACTATTTCTCTTGCCTTTTATGTCAATTAAATTAATTATTAACATTTTTATATTTTATTTAGAATTTTATTTATTGAAAAGCCTTTATCTGTACTTATGACAGGTCTAAGTTTTAGAGCCACATGACCAACGAAAATTACTTTGTAAATGAAATATTTTAATGTGTATTATATATAATCACAACTATAATTTTGTGTGTGTGTGTGTGTGTGTGTGTGTGTGTATACACACACACACACATATAGTGTGAGTTACTATATGCACACATATTATGCCAGCACATATAATATAGGTAAACAGAATATTTACTGTAGATTGTGTTCTCTATAGAAGTGAGAACTAATATCATCTTAACATTGCACAGGAAAACATTACATCAAATTTAGAAAATACTCATAAAAATTGTACAGAATATATTTTTTACCCTCTCTACATCTGGGTTGACAGGAGCACTAGGAAGTGAGTGACACACTGACTCATTGATACAATCAGGATTAGAACATGGAAACTTCCTGCCTAACCATACATCCTGACAATGGCATAATAATAGAGATTGAGATAATGATCTGAAATACAGTAACTTCAGCGCTTTATATCTTCTTAATTTTAGGCCTAATCCTGCTCTGGCTTACATTCACAAAAGTCGCCTTGATTTCATTTGGAAACTTTGGGGTACAGGAATGCAGGATGGCCCCTAATGCTTTCTTTATATCTTTAAAAATGTGTAGGTAGATAGACTCAGTTATTTAATGGGTTTTTTTCTTCTCTAACTTCTGTGATCCTAGTTCAAATTAACAGTTTTACAGTAGCATGAATTAACACTGCTATAGTGGAGGCACTCTCATTTTTTCTACTATTCCCATATTTTTAGGGAGTTTCGGACCAAAATGTGAACTTAATGAAGTCTGCTCTATAATCTCCCAGCAGCAGGGAAAGCTTTTATTTTTAGATATTTAAAATTTTAAATAAAAAACCAAGCCATTTTTCAACCAATTTCAAGTTATCAGGTTACAAACAGGATGCTCATTTTTGAAACTCTTTCTCCATGTAACCAAAAATTACTTAATTTTTAGATGTGCAATTTTACAAGTTGTTAGTTTTATTACCTTAATTCATTCCTTTTGCTATTTTGAAACTTAAAAGAAGTTCTTTCATTTAGAAAGGGACTACAGCACATGCACAGAAACTACTTTTGGTAAAATGTAATCTGTACGTACTATTGTTAATATACTTTCATAATGTATAAAATAATGGCTGCTTCTGAATGCAGATTAATAATAATAACTCAAAGCAAGACAGCCATTATGAATATACTAATAAAATTGGGTACAGTTGCACTTCAGAACTTGTGTGTCAATGGGACATTTCTTTCTCTCTCCCTTTTTCATATTTTAATATAAGAAAAGGGTTAGTGTGTTAATTTGTTAGTGTTAAAATATGTGACTGAGACTTAAATTAACAAATCCCATGTGATGGTAAAAATTCTGCCTTTAATCCATCTTCTCATCCCTAGATATTGTACTGAGGGATTCATTGATTAATGCAATATGTGCTTAAAATAGTGAGGCAAATAGAGTGAGTTACACAACTAAATTTGTCATTATTTTGGAATATCCCAAGTTTTGTGAATTTATATCCATGATATTACTTTAACATCACTTTCTATAATTCAGTATTGGAAACATTGAATACTGAGAGTTTACTAAAGAGAAATAGTAGCGAACCGTCTTGTTTGTTTTTATTTTGTTCAGGGGTTTTTTAAAGCTTAGTTAGTACTTCATATCATAACCTTAGATACCAAGACACACTGGATTTCATGATGTTTTAGTGATTTGACAAAGATGATGTTTGTGTGTGCAGCAAACAGAACTTCCCCTGTTTTATATGTACTATCATTACTTTACCCCCCTGGTGGGTGAATAAAGGTCTTGTCAAAAAATTCTATCAATATATATTGTTCTAATTATCAGTTCTCAAAGTAGTTCATTTGGAAAATGTGGAACGATGCTTGGAGTTTCTGGCATTGCCCCGTACCGGTAATGCGATTTCACTGATTGTACTTTCCCATGTGATGAGCAAATGATTGTCATTCCGAAAAGTCGCAAGGGACATGGATGTCATCTTAATAAAGAAATTAAAAAGCACATCTTTCTCTGAGAAACAATGTAAATTCCTGACCTGTCGCAGAAAATAGTTCTCTAATTGGTTTTGTGTGGTGGTGCAGCAGAATCGTTTTCCCCAAACGTCATACCGGCGAAGCACTACTGTACATCATTGTCAACAGTTCAGCAAAATCTTCCTAATAAGAGGACGATTACGTAAATGTGATAGTCTTTAAAAAAAGAGTTGTTTCTATATGATAGTACTTCCAAACCCAACCTTTTTACTTGATAAGGATCAAGAACAAATAGACAGCCAACTAGGTAAGAACTTTAAGATCCTTGAAAAGTCTTTTCATTGTTTTTCATGATAAGACTTTGTTTACTTTTACTGATACGTGATTAGGAACCATACCGGATGTTGTAGTAGTATATTTTTGACTGACCAATCTCAATTTTAAAGAAGAGAATCTACATCTTATAGTTGTTATACTAAGTACGTTTAGCCTCTTTAAAAGCACTCCTAGTACATTTTAAAAAATTAATATACATATATACCATTAAAAAACTTTTCAATCCAAAAATAGATGAAAAGTAATTTATCTTAACTATTTAAGCACCGAAGTCCATTGAAAATATTATTTTAATAACTTACATCATTATATATCATATGAAATGCTTGTCATTCATAATTAGCATTAAAAAGGGCCCAGAGTGCATTATTAGAATAATTTCTTAACTATCATACAAATACTGATTTATGTGCTAGGATTCACCAACAGTTGACAATTTTCATATCTTCTGCATCAATCTTTTGCTCTGAGGAGACTGTGTAAGCTGAACGGAGATATCTTAGGCATTCTCAGTAGTGGCTGTAATAAAAGCTGAAGGATTGGAAAGAGAAGAACAGTCATGTCCACAGATGGAGAAGGAATCTGAAGGCTTTTACTGGAACAAGTGAAATATTCAGCTAATTTTACTTGTTTTTATGGTATTAAATAGAAGAGTTTACTCAGCTTACTAAGTTAGAAGGAATTTGAGCATGATTTTACTGTACAGACATGTCTTCTCAAATGGTTATGAAAAAGGATTTTTAGTGTCCACAGACGTTGTTGAACAGCTACAAAGGACTTTTAAATTGTCACAGTGGATTCTGTATAAATGGATTTAATATTTAAAGCCACTACTTTGGAGATCTTGTGGTCTGTTATCCTGCACTTTTTAGCAAATTTGGGAATTAGCTCCTACAGCTAGTCAGATGGAAGCTGTGGTGAGCACCAAAATTTTGGTTTCTTTGTTTATGGTATGGGTTCACTTCTGAGAGGTAGCTCCTGAGGGTAACTGAAGTGGGGGGGCATTTGGGCGGCATGCCTATTAAAGTGCTGAATAATGACTCACAAATGTAGGAAGGCCTGCATTTGTTAGTGCCTGTTACCACCAGTACATAGACAGTGCTCTGTAGAAGTGAAAACAGAGCCCAATAGGGGAAATAAAATGATTTTTTAAATTTTTTTTTAAGAGAGAGAGAGAGAGCTACTTAATTAGCCCATGCAAAAAAAAATTATAATCCTAATATTATTTACAATAACATATAGTTGAAATCAACAAACTTTGGTGATTGGTTTTAGATCCCAAAATGCTGCTGAGGGATTGTATGTAGATAGAGGAGCCATTTTTACATTATTATACCAGGTAATTGACAATATGTTACAGACACAAGGTGGGTGAGGTAATATCTTTTTACAGAAGTTGGTCCAGTTTAAGATATTACCTCACCCACTTTGTGTCTCAAATATCCTGTGACCAACATGGCCACAACACTGTACACAAATATGAATACACTGTTAAACAGGTATAGCTGCTATGTAGTTCTTCTATGTGCAAGTAGGACAGAAATCACTAAAAGTTCCAGTTGCTAGTAACACTTCAACAGTTTTATAGCCGCAACTAGTGACCTATAGGTTTTGGTCTTTATTTAGAAAGAGATCTAAAATCTTAAGTTACTTGGGCATAGGTTCTATTGGAAGTACCTTAACAATCTGCACCATTTTTTTTTAAACCAGCAATTTTTGCCTTTTCTATGTATGGGTTAAATATCCCTCATTAGAATTTTGTAAATACTGTAACAGAGTTTTTGTATCATATATTTCTATAATTTGTTGACTTTTTGGCAGTGATGTGGCCTGGAAGCTGAATTTGACTTTGCAAAAATGAATTATATTTTAGCATTTTTTTATCAGCTGGAAAATAAGACTAATAGAAATGTTCATCTGTGGCACACCCTTAATGATAGAAAATTCTGAGTGAAGTCTTTTCTTTCCAAAAGTTTGTAATTACACTAACATTGAATGAATGTTGTTTTAAGATTATTTATTAAAATGATGTTGTTTGCTTGAAGAATAATTTGCTTAGAATCATGTTGCTTATTTTTTTAAAATTATCAGAATTGATGTGCATTTGCTAAATGTCTGATTAAAGATCACAAAGAAACTTGTATTTTGCATGTGATATAAGCAGATGGTGCACAGATGGTTTAAATTAATATTAATTAAAAAATCTTAACTTAAAATTGTTTACCCTGTAAACTCAAAGTTGGAAAGCTAGCTAACTTCTTTAGGGTTAATAGCGCTCCAGTCTACTTATTAAAAATCATACCAAAGGTTTTTTATTTCCAGCCCTTGATCAGAAAGATAGTGGCCTCAATAAAGGGTCTTGAGGAGAAAAGGTATAAGAACTGAAGTGGGGAAGAGTGCTGAAGGTTGGCAACACTCAGATCTCCAACAAAGATCTTGGGTATCCTGGAGTTGAAAAGTTAAAGAAGCGCTTATTCTGAGATCAAAAATGCATTCACGTCCTGCAGTCTAGTAAGGGAGACCTCTTATCTAATGATTGGAGCAAGGTCAAGAAGCCTCAGTACTGCTCCTGACACTGCCACTAGTCTGCCATGATTATTTTTAGACCAAGAAAGGAAGTAACTCTAAGATCCCAGTGCCACATTGTTTAATTAGTAAATTACATTATAGTAAAACAAACAAAGAGTAACTTTAAAACACTCAAAAGTGTTTCTTTGACAAAGACCTTGGACGGAATTCTACCTTGATATGTGTTTTGTGCAACCCCATTGATTCCAACAGGAATGTAAGAGTCCAATATATACTTATAATTACCACACCATGGTATATGTATCCACAGTCAAAACAGGAAATAATTATGGACTCTCACATACCACTATATGTTACCGAGGGGTAATTGCTGACTTTTAAATAGTGGCTACTTTATGTACACAGAGCCAAATTCTCTCCTCAATTACACATGTGCAGCTCCCATTAAAGTCAAAAGGAGTTTCACCCTTTCAGCAGGGCAGAATTAGACCTCAGATCTTGTAAGGATTGTTCCTTTTCTTCTTTTATAGTATGGATATTTCACTGAATATATGTACATTTTAATGATTTTTTTTTCTAATGTGTGCACAAGTTAAGACTCACAAACCTTTACTGTAAATTTAAACTTATCATGGGCCCAGCTATAGTAAATTCAGAATTATTTATTTTGGGAGCATTATTTTTTTTGATCCCTGACAAATGACCAGCAGTTTGACGTACCAGAATTGCTTTACTAGTAATTGACTTTCGGGGGAAAGAAGCTACAAAATTAACCCTAAAAACATCTCACACAGAAAAATAAATGGAACATTTTAAAAGGAAGTAAAAATTAATGTGAATTCTCTCTGTAATGTTGCTATCAGGTCAGCACTATCTCTTTTGATTACGAATGTAAGAAAGGGTAATAGAGTATGTTGTTAGTGCATTCTGATGCGATAATATTGGGTTCTCTTTCTTTGGGGTTAGCTTAAAATCAAGATAGGATAGCATACTTCCAAAAATACTTTTCCATTGTTTTAAAATGATGGTATATTGCATAGCAAACTATTTTTTAAAATAAACCACCAGGTTATAATTTGTTGATACTATAATAAAGCTGCATCATCCTGTTAAATTTAAAAAAGTCAGGAAAACATGGAAGAAGTAAACAAGACTGAAAAAGTATTTTAGTTGTCATGTTTTCTTTGGGCTATGGGAAGCCTCATGGACCCTGATCCTACAATAGACTTTCATGTAGATGGACCCCTGTGCTCATGGTAACCCCCATTGATTTCAGTGGGCTCTATATAATCATAGAAATGTAGGTCATCTAGTCCAGAAGCCATCTAGTTCAGCCCATTACACTGAGGCAGGACCAAGTATATGCCGGAAGGTGTGCAGAGCTCATTGTAAAATTGAAGCCTTGGTTGTTGGGACTAACCTGGTCCACATAATTTATTCTCTTCTGCTTGAAGAAAAGCAGCATGCTGATATGTTAGCATATTTCCCACTTCAACCCCTCTCAAGCTATTGATATATTGCCCTTTCATATGGAACTATTTGTTTGTTCCTTTTTTGCCATTAAAAGATATCTAAAGAAGTATAATTTTCAAAGTGCTTTTGAAAAGCATAATAAAGCTATATTGTATTTTTCATGAGTTTTGCCAAGTTAGTAAATGATTCATATGACTCCAAAGTACCATGATTATGTCACCCTCTACTGTTGTCAAAACAATAGCTCGATCTACACTTGACCTCCCTCATTCTAGTCTACTACAAAAATAAAGTCTCTGACTTTTTTAAAAAACTAATTATTGTAATTTCTCTCTCTCTCTTTTTACAACCAACTTTTGAAGATTTCTATGTGCTTATCACTTGAAACGCTTGGGGGGAATGGCTTAAATCAGTGGTTCCCAAACTTGTTCCGCCGCTTGTGCAGGGAAAGCCCCTGGCGGGCTGGGCCGGTTTGTTTACCTGTCCCGTCCGCAGGTTCGGCCGATCGTGGCTCCCAGTGGCCGCAGTTCGCTGCTCCAGGCCAATGGGAGCTGCTGGAAGTGGCATGGGCCGAGGGAC